GTGCGCTCGCCGGAAGTGCTCCTCCGCGAGGCTGGCAAGAAGGCCGTCGAAACACCGGTAAAACATACCCCGGGGGGGAAAAAAAGTAATCGTGGACGCTCGCGAAAAATCCCGTCGATCACACCCTCCTGCGGGGGGTCAAAGAATCGACCCCCTTGTCTCGCGACCCGTGCACATTCTCGTCGGTAGTCGGTATATATAATATAGCGCAATATATTATATAATAATATACAATACTCCTTATCACTCTAGGATCCTAACAAACAAACAAAAGAGAAGACAAAAGGAAAGTAAGAAGAGCGGCTCGGACTGGTCTGATCGAGGGAGCTTTTCGCGTCCGCGGGCAACCCTTCGGCGAAGGGGGCTGCGCGCAGCCCTTTATGAAAGGGCGAATCGACAATTGTCCGGCGAACAACAACGTCCGCCCACTAGCAAGTCCATCGTTGCATTCTTATCGCGGTTTCTGTTTCTCTTTTCCCGTTACAAAAATCGTTTTCCGCCTCTGTGTTTCCGTTCGCGTCTCTCGTTCTCTCCGCTGTTTTCTTCGTCATCGCGGGTGTTCAACGTTGCTCTTCCTCCACGCGGGCCGACGACTCGACACGAGGAACCGACGGGAGCCGAACGGCGACGAAGGGAACGGAGATTCTCGGTCCGATCCGTCGCGCCATCGCCGCGCGCGTATCAGCTCGAACGAGCGGGCCGGTTGTTCCGGGGTTCCCCGGCGTTTGCACGGGCCTGTCCCGGTCCTCTGTCAGGTAACGACGAGTCTGGCGGCGGGGTGCGCGGTGCTCTTCAGCCGTGGTCACTCGATGCTCCTCATTAATACTGCCAGCTCGCGGAAGGTCGCGCTCAGCTTGCCCGGCGCAGACTGCTTCTTCAATAGGATGCCTCTGATCGTTTGGAGCTTCTCGTAGCAGGAGAGGCACTTGTGGTATCTGATTCAACGAAATTCAGGAAGTTTCTTTTAATAGGCGATCCTGATTGCTTGCGATTCTAACTTTAGCTTCGCTTCCTGGTGTTCGGTTAGGTTCAGTGGATCTTAGAGAAATGTGATTCGCTTCGCGACGATTTAACAGTGGAACTACCGTTCCAGTCAAGATGGCCGGTTTCGATTCTCTTTGTTTCGTAATTATTGTCTTAAAAGCATTCGATATTTATATAATGAATGAAGAAACTGAAAATAATCTATTGTTATAATCTGTATGTAAGCGTGTAAAATGCTCGGTGGTTTAGTGCTAGAGAAAATATTTTCTAAGAATTCAATATTTCTTCCGAAATTTTTGTCATCGATGTCATAGGCTTTGGAAGCGTCAGACTGCTGACTTCGCGTTTCTCGTTCAGAGTGATTACAATCTACATTAGTACATCGTAAGTAATGAAACTATCTTACCGTTCCTCCCGCGACACGTCCACGCCGATCGTATGGAGAGGCGCCTCCACGTTCGACTTGATCACTGAAGCGAAATTCCGCAGGATCAGCCTCAACGCCGTAGAACCAACATTTATGTACCTAAAACAATGAGAAAGAACAACCAAAACTTTACTAATCTATCTTTCCAAACCCCAAATCCCTCGACCAGCGAAGTCAGCTCATCAACATTCACAAAAAAGCTTCCTAATCGATCGAAGAATAATTCTGTACGTCGATATAAAATGAAAAGTGTATAAAATAAATAGAAAATAAGATGAAACGAAGGATTCAGCTACAAAAGGGCCAGATTTCGAACACAGAAAGGAGAAACATGAGAAAAAACCAGACTGAGCGCACAGCCGCGTCGCTTCCACGACGCCCACCGGTGCGCGTCACGCCTGGTTTGTTCCAAAACGTGTTATTAGCCCATAACGGCGCCAATAAATAACGAAAGGCACGAAAGGCTTAGCGGCCAAATTCGACACGCTCGCTTTGGGACGGCGATAAAGGGTTCGCGCGCGCTCCCGTTCGAATCAGCGGGACGAATCGCGTGGACCGCCTCATAAATGTTCCGCGTAACGCGAGCCATTCGCTTCGAGACTCCTGAATCACCTATACATGGCCACTGACATCCTCTGAGAACGTTTAACCAACGTTCCGCAACATTTTCGAACATATTCGCGTCGTTTGTATCCTTTCATCCGACAAATTCGTCCAAAAGCGTGAGATTTCTCGAAAGAACGGCGGCCATATTGGAAATTCGGGGCGGCGACGACCGCATTACTGATTTCTACGGAAATTCCCGGTTTTAGGTACTAATTCGCGCTAAAGAATGTTGAATATAGTTCTGCCTTCAATATCAGAATTTTGTTTTGTTTATTACAATGTATATATGACGTTGAACTTGACTGGAGTTTTTATTTTACCGAACTTCGCTGTGCAACCGCGTCTGAGCAGTAATCAAATCCCTTTGATGACTATCAGTCGCCACTTGATTCGATATTTGATAGTATTAAACTTCGTATAATGCGATACGTGAGATATTGGAATAACATAGCTTCGCTCCTTAATCTACGCGTTTATTCTCGTTAGTTACTTGCAAAGAATGTCGGCTGTCATCGGAAAATGTCGAGTATTTCCAGTGAAAAACTTTCAAGTGCAAAGAGTTGACTTCCAATATTAATATTATCGTTCTTCTTGATAAAGGAAAATTGCGAAATCAGGGATAACGGGATGAAAAGATCGATAAATCGGGAAGTGAACACGGAACGACCCCTCGAAAGCGGCACGCGCCTCGATGGAATATTCATCGACGCCTTTTTTTTCTCACGGGGCCGTCACCTTCGGAACCAGGACGAAAACCCGTGACGAACGAGCCGTGAAAACGGCGAGTACCTTCTATGCAAACTGCACTGCATTACGCCATCCGAGATGTGTATATTTAGCCGGCAATTTGCTGGCCGGATTCACCCTTTACGCGGCTGTCGAACCGTGACACGGAACCACCGCGATCGACCGACATTTTTTCTGTGTCAGGCATCGAGTTCATACGTCTCCTCTGTCTAGCCGGTAAATTAGATACTCTAATCCGACAAATTGACTCCGATTCGATACTAGAACCATCGAATAGATCGAAACGAACAACTCACAGCCACAGGTTCTTTTAATACAGCAAAATTATGAAATTCAATGTTTAGTATCATCGTTCGAAGTTGCAATTCAGTCTTTATGCTCTAAGATTTCGGGGTCAAGCGAGGACTTACTGAAAGAATTATTAGACATTACGAGCATGAATAATAGCAGAACGGTAATAAGAGGACAGCGATCGAGGATGATCGTTCGGCATGGAGGAACGCGTTCATTTGATTGCGGCCTAATCGTTGAGGGGGACAGCCGGAGGAAAGGGGATCGCGCAAACGGCTGTACTCGACTGTTACGATTGACAGTGGCCGGCAGCTGCCGAGCGACCGACGATTAGTACGAATTCACTTTTATGGTATCGGTTGCGGTGCACGCACGAGCATGGAGCTGTGTTCCTGAACGGTCGTGAGCAACGACCGTGAACTTGGATGACCGTGAAAGCCATCTTGCACCTATCACGAACGAATCGCGATTTTTATACGCGAAATAAAACAAAATAGAAGTTCCAAATTTTCCTTTGTTCATCGAACTGACGAAAGACAAATTCTATTTCACTTCGAATACCGATAGTTCGTATGAATGTGAATGCAAAGGAAAATTTGCAGTTCATGGGGATCCAGGTGATAAATGGAGGGTGAGAGCTGAAGTTTTGGAAGACATGGAGAATATTATAAACGTTGAACAGTATAGGGAACTAGGGGAAAGTAGTTAAATAGTTAAGTGATTCCTTATTATTCGATTGCTTTTAAGAGCTGCCAAAGTCCCAAATTCTTCTTTCATTATTGAAGAGGTAACAGAGGCTACTCTAAGAAACGGGTATGGAAATTCACTCAGTAACACTCAAACTGAATGAAGAATAAATTGATGTCTCGGTACATGCATATTTTCCATGAAAAAATGTGGAAAAGGCAATTTAAGTGATCGATAGTTCCAGTGGCTAAGACACCAGGAGCCACGTTGATCGAGCACTAAGCTCTACGCAAATTGAATCGCTGTCATCGGGCGTCAATCAAGGTGTGCGCTCTAATAATAGCAATGACAGGCGAAGAAGAAGAAGAGGAAGAAGAGGAGAAAAAGGAAAAGTGAGTAGACGATCGTCGCAATAAGCGGACGCGTAACGAACGGGACGGCAATTTTCCGGACTGGTGGTTTTAGATCATCGACGGGGAGACGGGATATTATTAGATCGCGTGGTGATCTGGCCTGTCATTAAATCAACGCGAGGAAGTTGTCGTTTGCCGACGTAATAGGCGAGCATTGATAAATCGTGGGAGATTGAATTAAATTTTGTTGTGTACGTCTGCACGCGCCGCGCGCGACTGGCTAGGCAAGAGGATCACGAGATTACCTTTGGCGTAACGTTGCAATAGGAATCGCGACGATTCAGCGTCTGAGCTGAATTCATAATCCACGTGTTTCTAATTAGACGAGCGAAACAGGAAGAGACGGATAACCGGCAGGCACGTGAAAGGAAACGCTCGTTTCTCGCCGCGACAGCGCAATGGCGACAGCTTGTAACTGTGCGCCGGCTAATTAACCGGTTCCGAGCATCGCTTGCACCCGTCGTGTCATTATTCTCCTTCTTCTTCCCTGGAATCGCTTTGTTGACATTCACTTGGAATTCCAAGGAAGAAGATTAGTTGTACCTCTTGTTCGATTAGTTTTATTCTGATCAAGAAACAAATCAATCAGTCGTGAATACATTTTTACATAGAAAGGTTGGGTGATTATATGAAGTTATATGATAATTTCTGTGTAATGGTAATATTGATATGTTAATAGCAATAATATTAACGTAACAACGACAATAATAATAAAAAGTTACGATAAAGAAAATTTGTGAAAAGAAAGCTACCTTAGTTCAGTAAAAAATAGAAGAAGTTGCAACATTAATCTTTTGAAATATAAATTTCGTAGAAGCGGTCAGAGACAATCTGAATGTTAATTAAACCTCGCATAGTTCGAATTCCCGAGAATTGAAAAAAAACCAAAGACTGAAGGCAAGGACTGAAAGGAAAGCGATCCTAAACCCGACTATCTGGGTCAAGCGTGTTCTTCCTACGCGATCGTTAATATTCATGATCGGTCGACATTCGAGAACAAAAAGAGGAAAAAAAAAGGGAGAATGACAGAACGGATTTGTCTGTCCGTGAAGAGTGTCAGCATATGCATCGATGCACGCGTTGCCCTTCGAGTTTTCAACCGTGGGGACAATAAGGCTCGCGAGAACGAGGTCTTTCGAGGATCGAAATTTGCATCTGGCACTGTCCTCCATTGTCTCGGCTAATTTTCGCGAACCCTCCTCCCTTTCGCCTCGTGTTTCCCCCGTTCGGCGAATTAGCCATTCCCATAGACGCGACGGTGAAGTACGCGACCCCACTCGAAACCCAGCCTGTTTGCCGAGCGGCTCGCGTGCACGAGCCATACGAGAACTTACCCCTGCCGCACGGTGGAAGGGGTGTCTCGGTTTTCTTTAATTCACCGACCGTGTAGTGTTTCACCGTTGAAAGTGGAGTAACGTTAGACGATGACACGCACGAACGGGCGGCCGCGCGCGTGCACTCGATTTCCACGGTGTCTCGACATTGTCGGCGTAAAACAAGCGAGCGCGAGCGTCAGATAATTTCTCATGGATAAACCGTTATCCGTTAAAGGGTACAGACGGCTGGAAAATGTGGGTGAAAGTGAACAATCGGGGTTAAGAACGCAGTGATAGGTCTGTTGAAACAGTGCGAACGACTCTGTACTTACATTTCGTATTTACTTTGCAGGAGATCCCCGATCGGGCCGAGCAGAGAGTTACACAGATCCAGGTTCCACATTGTTCTGGAAGCGAAACGGACTGTGAACGTAGGTATACACAGGGGATTACGGATCAATTGGCGATGGAGTTCTGTTACTTACGGTTTTAGAGTCAATATTCCCAATAGGTCCACGATCACTGAAAGATCGTTCATCGCCACAGCGGACTCCACTGCAGCCTGAAATTGTAAAACGTCTTCTCAATTCTACTTTTCCCACTGTCAACGATAAACGACGTTTTATTCGCAGAAAGTGCAACGTACCTTAAGATCTTTGTGTTGCATCAGGGAATAGATGATTTGCAAAGATCGATGACGATTCGTCAGTACAGTCATCATCGCCTCATGGCCTCGCATCATGCTGTTGAGCACTTCAGCCTCGGACATTTCGTTGAGGACACCGATCTGAGGGTAGCCAAACGCTGTTGAACCCGCGAAGTGGTTCTGTGGGAAATCGCAAGAGCGAGGCGAGTCAGTTTCACGCGGTACACTTTGACAGCGTGATCGAATATACACGGACACAGTGAACACTCACAGGTAGAAAGGTTTCGACGTCCAGACCGTAAGGTTTATCGGCACTTATAGGGACGATTTCCTCTTTCTCTGTAGCTTCTACGCTTGGCCTCACCTGAGATGTCCGCACGTCTATCTTAGGGTTTGGGGGCACTTGAGCTTTGTTCGATTTTTTTGTCGCGAACGTGGTGGTGGTAGTGGAAGCGTTGCGTGCAGACAGCGACGATGAGGTAGTAAAGTTTCTATTTAGCGAGGTGGACCTGGACTGCGCCGAGTTCGGCCTGTTTAACGCTGGATCAGAGGGGCTATGCCTTATACTATTAATTCTGCAAGAATACGACAATTTCATTAACGCGATGCAAACGACGAGAAGTACATTTTATTTGGGAACGAATGGAAGATACTCACTGTACCGGATAATCGCTTTCGTAACCCTGTTCTCCATCCCTACAACTACTCTGCCTCTTTAGATAATGCTTAGGAGAATCCGGGCTAGGTGCTCTATTCTTCAGTTTCCCATCGTCCATTACTGGAAGAACGGCAGCCATTGGCGCCACCCGCGGTGTCAAAGTTGAATTCGACCGTTGAGGGCCCAAGGGTTGTGGAAGCGTCCCTAAATCACTGCCAGTGCCGATCTTCTTGCCAGGCAGAGGCGTAATGTTTTGTCTAAGGGGCGGTATGGACGCCAAGTTCTTCGACGTCCTGCTAAGGCCATTGTTCGTTTGCAAAGTCTTTGCCTGGCTCGTCGATGTCAACGCGTTTCTCTGAACGGGTGGCGACGACTTGATCGGCTGAACACGCACGGGTACAGGCTTGGTCAATGATAACGTTGGCGCGGGCGGGGGTGGAGATGACGGCGACGAAATGGGCGGAACTTCCTCTGGTTCTGCTGTGCTTAGATTTGACATTGAGGTAGAAAGATTTTGTAGTATCTGTGGCTGCGTGGGATCTGGAAAAGGTAATATACATAGCATAATGTGCGACGTGTACGTATGGGGTAAATGTGTGCGAAGGTTTATCGGTCGGCGTTCATGCGTTATCGATAGCAGAAGAGGAAAGACGGGGATTCACATGGAACTCACCTATGTCTTGAGGCTCCTGGAAAGCCTCAGGTTCTGGAGGTGGAGTGCGAGACACTGAAACATACCGTGCATAGCATGCTCATTCACAAACTGTACGACACAACATCCAGATGCATTTATATTCTCAGGCTTGTGGTTGTAAGTGGATAGTTAATAGTCGGGGTAGAATAGAGTTTCAGTTAAGTTAGAGCACATGATCGAACCTTGCCATGGAAAAATGTTGACACTTACGCGACCTGTTCGGTTGAAAGATGTCATGGTAAGCTGTAACGTTCGGTATGTCGGCATACGTTGCTTCATCTTCTGGATCTGTTCCGGACTTGTCTGCCTCTTCTATAGTCCTCACGTCTAGCCTGTGGGTAAGACACCAGGATTACAGGCAAGAATAGAAACGATCTTGAAAGGTTTCATTTCACTTACGTATGTTTCTTTAATCCGGGAGGCCTTTCCCTGGAGAAGCTTTTCCTTAACGAGTTCCCGTGACTGAACGGTGAATCGGACGTTGACACCCCTCCTAACGGAGCAACTTTTTTTAAATCGCACACGTATAAAACGACATTGGCAGTATGAAAACTTGCACCGATCTGAAACATTCGTAAATGGATTTACGCTAATGATCTGTCCTGTGTGTATATCAATTTCTCTGTAGTATTAGCTTACCAACTGGTTCTGGGCCACAGCTATATCCTGCACTTTCGCCCAACCAGTCGGAACCGAATCTAACGTTCGACCCGGTTCCCAACCATATACTTTTAACACATCATGGCAACCAGCGAAAAGACATTCCCCGCCCTGACTGAAATAGAGGCACCTGGCAAACAAGCAAGGTGGTTCAGTAAAATATCTAAGGTCTTCAACAATGTAAGTGCAATAATAAAATATATGAGTACATACCGAATTGTTGTGGAGTGACTTTGATCCGTAGATGATACAAGTTGAAATGATTCCAAGTCCCAGAAATGAACTGTTCTATCTGCACTGCCACTGGCTAGTAAGAACTCATGAGGATGAAACTCCACTGTTGTTGCCGGTCCTCTGTGTTCTGAGAATTCTCTAAGCTGCCTACCAGCTCTTAAATCCCATAACTAAACGATGAACGAGTTATTATATAGTAACATCAAATTGTATTCTACTTAAGTGATCTTTATGTCTGTACCTTAACCATTCCTTCTTCCCCAGCACTAGCAATCCACTGGCCATCAGGACTGAATTTGAGACTATTCACCATCCTATTGTGCCCTTTATATGTAAAGATACAACCTTTCCTCCTAATATCCCACAACTTGATCGCAGTGTCTAAGCTTCCAGATGCCAATAACTCTCCATAAGGATGAAAGTCCATGCAACGTATGCCTGCTTTATGTCCTGTTAACGTGCGGGCCAATTTGGCGTGCTCCAAATCCCAAATTTTCAGTGCTCCCGTCTGCGAGCCAGCGCATACTAAGTCTTCCGTTTGCCCAAATTTTACACATTCTATCGGAGTGGTGTGACCACTCAGGCTCTAAAACCAATGCGAACGGTCAATGAACCAAATGCTCAGGAAAAATGAGCATTGTATCAGAGCTGGTGTTAAGTAACTAGATAAAAATACCATTATACAATTCTGTTTCCCAACAGCCCATAGATTCACTTTCTTGTCATCGCCACCAGTGACCAAAACACGTCCAGACTTGTGACCCAATGCCAGACAATTGACATTGGACGTGTGGGCAACAAAATCCTCTGCACAGAAGAAACATCATTGACTCAAACGACCCGGACAAGGTGTCAGGTGCCAGTGACATCACAAACGCAGCGCGCTTTACAGTCCGGCGAAGGTTATGACCATAATAGGAAGATGCAGCGAACAATCAATCGCCGAGGCACCGTCGAACGCATTGTAAACATGAATTGTTTACCCTTAACGGGGTTCAAAGCCGCCGGAATGGAATTCCGTCGGACGCGTACCGTCCGCCGACGAATCGAGCAATGTGCACGCGATACGACCAGGGAAAACACACTTACGGAGTTTCCATGACCTCTTCGTGGACGAAGCCATGTTCCGGGGCCGAATGATCGCGTTGCTCACGACTTATTTGGCAAAGACAACAATTCGAGATTTCAGCTTGCAGACGCAGAATTTTTCCTTGCTCGAGCTCGTAGTCAACATTTTGTACGTTTCTCTGTTTTGATCTCGGCACGGTGGCGATCGTTCAACGGGGCGACAGCATCTCGCCACGGCGCGGTCCTCTGAGGCGATCCTTTCCTTGAAATCTCTGGCCGTTTTCAGAAACCGTTCGTTCCACCTCTTCGTCGTATCTCATTTCTTGAATCTGCCTGTCCGTGGGCAGCGCGAACTAACGTGACGTTGAGAAATATCGAAGTTTCTGTTTCTATCGAGATCGCGTTCCGATCGATCGCGCCAGATGTCACCAGCTCCCCGGTCAATTGAACCTGACCCGTGCGCGTTCAATTAAATATGGCCGACGATTCAATTAAGGAGGCGGGCGATCGAGCATTATCGGGAAGCTTATCAGGCTTGGTTCAGATTATGCTGTTTGAGAACATTGCGTTAAAATGCGACATGTAGATACACGTTATGTCGTGCATGACATAATCGATGCTTCAAAGCACATATACCGAATAAGGTTATGTCTTTTCCTGAACGAACTGTAGCCCGATTTCAACTGACGTAATGCGCCTGAGTTGACTGTTCTGTTGACATGTTTTCGTGACATGTGTTTCTCGTATGGTAAAATTATCTCGCGCGTAATTTATCTGTTGAAAAACGATCTGCGTGATTAGTGTGACGGGTACGATGTTTTCATATTCATGGCCGCGATTGTTAAAAATTAATTATCTTTCTAAGGCGCCTAAAAGGCACATAGTGAAATATGTACAGGGACAGTCTCCGGAACCTAGAGTTCGAGAATATTTTTATTACATTGATCACCAAGGCATGGTACAATTCATTCTTTAATTAGCTCCAATAATGTTTATGATTATAAGACTACTGAACTATTAAAAATGAGATGATTTTTGTATGTCCTGTAGTTGTTCCTGGATGATGCTCGTATGAAAAATTTTACTTCGTGCTTTAAAGGTTGGCAGATACTTTGAAAAATATATGTCAATATGTATATACTCATATTTATCAAATATTATTTTAGACAAAAAGTTCTTGGCATTTTTTTTCAAGCGTTTGAGGAAAAATGAGACAGGAAGGTATATGGAGGATTTTCCATATATTTCTCTGTGTGGCCCAGAAAGAAATTTTATCAGATGCGATGATTTGCCAATAGTATTTACTAAAATTGTACAGAAACAGAACAGCGAGACAGGAGAAGATGAAGATTGGTTTGGTTATGCTCATGCAGAAGAGTTACTTATGGTATTTAAATCTCAAAATATAGTTTGAGTAAATAAGTTTTGATAATGAACTCATTGTAGGTGCCATTCGAACCAGAAAAGTTGTACATGAATATTCAAACAGGAAGAGTGTATCATCCTGCACCAGAGAAAGCAGGGGGAGTTGGTCTAGTTAGATCAAAAATAGCAATTGAATTTAGTTCATTATTCAATTTTGAAAAAGGTGAAGAACATTGTCCAACTCACTTTTTGTGGAAAAGTAAAAGATATTCTCTTGATTCTGGGTGGTGTAAGGATAAAGTACTACAGACTCTAAGCTAAAAATAAATAAATTTTATTTTTAATAAAAAATGAAAACAAAGTACAATATATATATATGAACAACTTTCATAAAATGTACATAGATCTTAGATAATAACAAAGATTTTATATTTTTCCCTATATAATAGATTACGTTATGATAAAGATGAAATATCAAAAATTCTGGCTGTGGAATCATCGGATGTTGTTAGTGCCTTTTCTCCATTTCTGAAAAGCATTCAATGTTATGTGTCCTGTTTTATTTATACTCTATTATGAAGAAGTAATTTCATATTGCTATAACTTACTCAGATATATGTAAATCAAGAATGTCAGCAGTATGGCCAGAGAATGATTGTAGGCATTGGCCAGTTCTTGCATCGAAACACCTCAAAATACCATCTAATCCTGCAGAAAACAGGATAGACGTATTTCCCTTCCATAGCAATTTAGATATACCGCTCTCTTGCTCGATTTTTTGTCTGAGTACCTAAATAGTTCCAGTACCAGTAGAAATCAGTACTACATAACACCACATAAGGTTCCATGTAAAGTAAAAGTGGTAATACCTGTTTTGAGATATCCCAGATAAAGATTTCTCCATTAACTGTACCAGTTGCAGCAACTGGGAATGCAGGATCCTTACAGAATGCTGCAGTTTCTACCCAGTTGCTATCACTATTTGCTTCACTATTCTCAGCATCTTGGTCGATATTCATAAGATTACTTCTGTCACCAACATTCAATTTTTGCAAAATCGAAATTATCTGAAGATTGTAAATCATATTACTTAGATTCTTAAAATATAGAGAGTTGCTATCTATCACTATCTATCTTTTTATTACCTTGCCGTTACTTGAAGTACTGATTATAGTTTTTCCATCAGTAGCAGCTGAAAGGACTAAATTATTATCAGTATGACAATCAAGAGTAGTTATAGTAGACGAATGACCCAAGGAGGAAGAAATCGAAGACAAGATAGAACTTGTTTTCAAATCTATTGTCCTAATCGTTCCATCTTCATAACCAACTGCAATACGCTTGCCTAAAAAATTATACACCATTTAAATACCATTCCATCAATTAGGAAAGCACATAAAGTAACTAATACCATCTGGAAATATTGCACCATTCTCTGCTCGGCAACCATACCCCTGAAATACTTTGCAATCTCCAGTAGGTATCTTCCACATGTATACTTCTCCGTCAACAGATCCTGCCAATAATACATTTGCAGCAATATGCCACTTCATCCACTGCAATGAAGAAGACAATTTTTCAGTCATTTATAATTTAAAGATCAATTACAGAGATTAAACTGACTGTTGCATCCCCCATGTTGTAAGACCAGATTTTGGCTTTGTCAGCTACTGTCCAAACTTGAATCAAACCACTCATGTCACCGGTAGCTAGGTAAGTCTCATCAAAATTAAACTCTGCAAAGATAATGCTATCTTTATGTCCAGTGCAGTCAAGAATTATATCCCCATACGTAGTGTCCCAAATGTAGGCTTTATCTTCTTCCCCTCCAGTGGCAGCCAGTTTTCCATTTTTACTCAAAAAACCACAGAATACGGATCCTGAAATTTTTAATACGATTATGCTTGTTCACATTACTTTTATTATATTAGGCAGAACTTTCTTGACCTCGCTTATGCCCGGTGAATAGACAAGATGCATCTCCCCGCTCTGGGGGCTCTTGTTCCATCACATCCTCATCTCCAATTTCTTCTGTTTCAAACGCTTCTATCACTTCATCAACATCACCCACATAGATCATATCTTCTTCCTCGATTTGGCCATTCATGTTTGGAGAGGATGGAGGTGTGTCTATTTCGGTCATTTACTTTAATATCTAATAAAGCGAGCAACAGGTCACGTTTTGTGGGAGTTACAAGTATGTTTAAGCAAAATACAAGTACAATAAAATAATAATCCAAGATATTCATTTGTCGCTGTACTCACGCTAAATATGCAAACGCTGTTAAGCTCTCACCTTTCTCAACAATTTCAGATTCAAACCGGTAGTTCTCGTTCGAAAAAAGTGAAAATTCAAACACCCGTCAACAACGCTTAGCTCACTCGATCATCAGCTGATTTATAATTTTTTATCTTACGTTGCATGCCCTGAGAAGGTTTGGTCATTTACCGCTCGCGACATCTATACCTTCTAGACACAAACGATTACATCCAGTTACCATCCGCGGTAAATCAGCATTTTTCAAAAAATATACTACATTTCCAAAAACTCAGCTAATTATTACTCACACGCTTACAACTTGTACCAGCTGCATTCACCTGCTTACTAATTTGTGCCAAGGGTAGTATTCACACGACTGAAAATGTATACATTCAGCCTCACTTAACAAGGAAACAACTATTGGCAAAGTATCAGAAACATTCCATTTCCTTTTGAATATCAAGATTCCATTGTTTAACATAAATTAAAGACAAGTTTCTTTAATGACAATGATACAAATTTAATTTATACACGAGGAATGCCATTATCATACCATTCCTTCGAGACATCAACATAATTCCCCGAATTTCCCAGCGGCGCATCGGAAAAGCAATTGTTGCATAATTATCGACCAATGACTCGCGTCACTAACGAAATTGAGTAATAGTCGTGTTTTGTTTATGTATTCGAAGTTCGGGTGCTATACGTCAGCCGCTCATCGTGTTTCGTCAGCCGCCTCATCAGTTCTCCCACTAGCGGCTTCTAACGTTCCCTCTCTCTCCGACCGGCAGGATTTTCCTGTCGCCCTCTTCGTCAGCCTACTTCCATCTCTTTTCACAAATGGAGGTACACGCCCGAGAAACCGGCAGTCTCGGTCAAGCTCCCGCGCGGACTACATACTCCGTCCGATCTCGTCGAATTTCTACTTGGTTCCACGTGTCCTGAGATTTCGCACTGATCCCTAATGAAACGTTCGGAAGAATCGTCTCCTCGATCGAACCGGCAGCAATCAACGACGCGCGCGAAGAGATTCATCGGACGCGATCATCGGATCATCCGCCCGGCAACGATCCAGCGAAGGACCTTACGCGAAATCCCCGAGAGATCGTTCGATTGATCTATCATCGACCGCGGTGCGAGGCCGGCGATAAACGGATTCCTGGAACGATGGCATCGCCGATGCCGAAGACTCGCGAAACGATACGCGCGGAGAGGACAAGGAACGCGTCGTGATCTCGACCGAACGGTTAAATCCTCTAATGAACCCGTCGGCGAGAATGGGAGGAATGAAACGAGAATCGTTGCCGTGGAGGGAGTGAGATTTTCTTGAGAGCGGAGCTTTCGTGTCTACTGGCGGTCGGTGGGGTAAAAGCACAGTCGAGCCACGTGCCGCGCGCTTGTCAAATCGATGACCACGTTGCAGGCACTTCAGATAAGGCAACTAGCATTAGTATTTCGTTTCCTGTTCGCGTTAATTTATTTATTTATTTCTTCGTTCCTGGAGGCTCGAGGGGACACTGGGAACGCACACAAGTATTCGCAAGTAGCATTCCGCTAGAAATAACCTTTGACCCTCGTCGGTTCGAAGCCACAGGCTGGTTTCTATAAATCGAATCGAAACTCGTCTCGTCTCGTTTCGAACGAAACGGTCCAGAGTAATTCCGCGCGAAGAGAAACAGTGGGACACCGGGAGGAGGAGACGATTGGTGATCGTTGCAGAGAATCGTTTATTCGACCATTGACAATGGAAGATGAAAATAATGGCAACGGCGGTATATGGGTATTCGGTTACGGGTCTTTGTGTTGGCATCCAGGATTCAAATATAAGAGAGGCGTCGTGGGACACGTGAAAGGATTCATTAGGCGATTTTGGCAGGGGAACACCACGCACCGCGGCACTAATGAGAATGTAATTATCAGAAATGGAATTTAGGGACGCTCCATTACGCTCTCTGCGTCGTTGCTTTTCACGGCTGTGACAGATTCGTGGAAAATTCACATCAATTTTATACAAATATTATATTAACGTTTATTACGAATAGATCACAGTATTGTAACGATTCATTAATGTATCATAGTATTATTCATATTAATATAGCATAGAATATTTATCAGATTATACAATAAAATATTGTTAAACGTTCAAAATGATTCACTAGAGAATCCGATGATAATGAAACGTGAACCGTGACGCAAAACGCTAACATTCGAACACGCATAGGGGACGAAAAATTATCGGAAGCAATTCATGTTCGTTAAAACGTGCAATTTCGAAACTTTTATTGCGCGTTAGAGGACGGCACGCGAAACAAAACATATGTACGCAGATACGTATATGCGCGAAATATTTTCGATCGAACATGTAGGATTTATTGTAGTGGTCTAAAAACGTTTGTACGTTCTCTTTACAATTCTTCGTTGTTCTCTTTACAATTCTCTCTCTCTCTCACTCTAAATTCGCTTCGTACGCACTATCTCACACCGTTGCTCTTCACAATTTGCGCGATCCACGGCGGTCCCCTAGCAACGCGCGGGCTATGGAAAACAAGTCGTTGGCAACGCGTAGCGACGGTTTCACGACCGCGCTTGTTCCTACGGCTCGTTCCTGCGGACATACTGTATAGCTTTTTCATGCGGAGGTGGTCTGTCAGTTGTGCTATTTATATCGATAATTTTCTCCGCGTAAAATTCTTTTACAAAGCTTTGGCAAATGGCCATTGTCCCGCCAGAGGGATGCACTTTTGCTTGACGTTTCGAAATTTACGACGAGCGGGGGCACGTCACGAATGCTTTTGTTCGCGTCACTCGCGGTCACAAGGTTTGTGACATTGTACTTCGTTGTGTCTTCTTTTGCGTCTACAGTTTACTCGGCGTGTTTATCCACGTGTTCTTCAACTGGGCTTCGCAGTTTACGACTTCCTTGACACTAAACCTGTTAGACGGTCACAATCACCCATTTCTGATTTATTGTTTTTGCGATTATTAGAAAGATAAGATTTCTCGAAGAAATTATTCAGGATATTGATCTAGCAATACGCAAACTGAATTATAAATCAATGTCTCGACAAATGCACTCCTGAAGTTGGTATAAGAGGTATTTCGAAAAGTGAGTTTAACTGCTCGGTTTAGTGTTAATTGTAAAAATAAACGTGTCGCATTAAATGGGAGACACGAGTTGTCGAGTAGCTGCCGATAGGAGGATGCTCGTTTAACACTAGAACTACCACGTGGGTCATAATAACTCTTCCTAATTTGTTCTTGTATAATTATTGAAAAGGCACAGATACTCGTTTGAGAGGTCATTAAGGAAACTGATTTAGTAATACCTAAATTGATATATGAGCCAATTGAAATCTTAACACTTGTTATTTATTATTTATTATTCAACATATTTTCGAGAATTTCCACTGCAGACAGAAATACTTTCAACCACACACGAAACAAATCAAAACTTTTGCCAAAAATGTTAATGCATACAATGTGTTAATAACTGCACACTTGTGACTCTCACAAAGAAATGACAAAAAATCAGTTGAAGTACTCGTTAGTTCCAGTGTTTAAAGTCATACAGTACAAAGCGCGCAGGACAATACATACACGCACACGTATTTATGTGGCCACCCAGTAAGTAGTCACGGATGCTTCTATTAAGACCAATAAAAGTTGGACACTGTTTCGTTTAATTAATTTGTCACTCTGATTTATACAGTTAATCGATTTAATATGGTTATGTGCATTGAAACTAATTTTCTTTTCTTCTCTCTTGTTTCTCTCCTTTTTTTAAAGAAGTTCTATAATAATTCGAGATTACCGACGAGTACAAACAAAGATATAACTCGTGTACCCGGGTTGACGAGTCGATAATTCGCGACTTTGTATGCCCACGGTCCGAGCGTGTCACTTCATCCTTCGACGTGGCCGACGCGAACGCAACGACGAGACTTTTATCTCGCGCCTTACGGTTTATTGTACTACGATTAACACGATCCACGCGGGGTTTTATTAAATAAGTACGATTTCTCTTGATCTCGTGTTACCGTGCCGCTTCCCAATCAATGTAAACCAGTTGCAACTCGTAGAAACCGATATCTTTCGAACACAATTTCGTCCCCCGTGTTCGTGTTACGTGTTTGCGTCACATGCTTGTCCACTGACCAAGCTTCTCGTTCATTGTTCGCTTTATTTCTATTTCAATACTCGTGTTTGCTCAATGATTCTGTTTTCTTTTGTTACAGCCCGGGCGCGTGGCTACGCTGATAAAAGAACAAGAGGTGAATATACGTTTTACAACGACGTCACGATTCCTAATCCAACATTTTCCGCTTGTTCGTTCCTCCTCGCGCGGAGGAACCGGATACACGGGATCTCGCTAACTCGAAACACGATTGTAGAAGGAAAAAAAATACATTCGCTGTTTAACACGTTAAATGTCATGTCAGTCACGGATGATTGATGCCTCTGAGTTACTGAAAACATTAGTAACTTGCAAGATAATCGGTGTCGAGTCAAAATGTTCTGCGCCACGGAAACTTCGGTTACATTTTGCTTATAAACTATATCGATTTTTTAAATAAAATAATATGTTCTATTCAGGTTTTTGGTAATTTTTATGTATTTTGATATTGGTTCTTTATGCTTTTACTGCTTTGTAACGTATATCGCTATCAGTGATCATTAAAAATATTTTCTTACAAAGATTGAAGTGTACCATATGTGGTGATGACATGTTGATAACGTAACTAAGTTGATAATAGTAATGCAAATATTGGAACACTAAATAGTGAATAATCGTTGCTTTTCTTTGCTAAACAGGATAAGAGTACAAAAAAATGGTGAAGATTTTCGTGGCGCTTAACGTGTTAATGTTTCATAATGCCGATACGTTTCTGGTGAATTGCGACTTAATTAGTCTCTTTGTTGTCGCAGGGCATTGTATACGGTTGCGCGTTCCAAGTCGAAGACAGCGTGGCACTGCCGTATTTGGAAAACCGCGAATGCACTTTGGGTGGATACATAACAATAGTTTCGACGTTCTACAGTCGAGATGGGAGCAAGAGTTTTCCTGTGATCATATACATCGCCACCAATAAGAATCAGCATTGGCTCGGGGATGCCCCGCTTCATCACATAGCGGATCAAATTTTTCAGAGTTCCGGTCCCAGTGGACACAACGTCGAATACCTTCTACGGTAATTTTCGAGTCGACTTTGCGCATGGCTTAAATTCAATATGAGGCTTTATGATATAAATTTAATCGGTTAATTAACACGTTGAATGTCGTGGGGGTCACTGATGATGACCCCCAATCAAATTGAATTATTGTTTACTCGGTTGAACTATGATTATTTGAAAACATTTCTGTATTATAAATAATGCTACCTAATGCGGTGACATTCATGCTAGATAAACGTGCAGTAATAGTGATTCGGTCAACGTGTTAATTCAATTCGTTTTGAGATCAGAATGAAAGACAATAGTCAATTTTAATTTCTGCGTTTTGTGGATGTCTTTTATACTTAATTTTCTGTGGAATTATTTTGTTATGCTACATTATCATTTTGTTCGTTTGTTAATAGGTTAGCAGAATTTATGCATCGTTATTTGCCCGAAGTCTGCGACGATCATTTATTCACATTAGAGCTGTTGGTGCGGTCGCGGATAAAGGAACATAACATGTGTCTCAGGACATTAATGGGTAATCGAGACTTCGACATCGTCATCGATAACGACGATGTGGACATCGATAACGACGATGTAGACATCGACGACGACGACGACGACGACGACGACGAAGACGACGTAGACGTCACCGACGTAGTCATCGACGACAAAAGCGATGACAATGGCGTCACCAATCTCAGGGAAAATACGTTCCAATTTATATTAGGGATATCTCGTAAAACTTCGCCTTGCCTGAAAATATAGTTGGCGGATAATGTTAATTTTGAAAAGACTATAGGAGCAGCTAGCCCGCAAGACGAGAAACGCGTGTACAATGAAACGAAAGAGATAGTAAGAATTATGTTTCTCGGAGTTTGTAAATATTTATGAAAAGAATTTTTATTGTCCTAAGAGCACAACTGTGAGAATGTATTACGGTAATTTTATTAATGAAAAAAGTCACTGGTGTGTACTAAC